GAAACTTAAAAAATGATTTCCAGAACTCATTTTTCAGGTTTCCAAACACACCCTTAGTACCATTGGACTTAAGATAACTTCTTTTACTTTTTGTTCCAATGTTGAAGATTAAAAGTAGGGGAGGGCGAGAATAATGAGTTGTATATTTTATTAAAAAATAAAAAATTTGAATATTACTTTAAAAAAAATAAAATTGAATATGATACTGGAATTATGACCTGTGTCGGTTAAATTATGATTTTATGATCCTAATGCATGCCAGAATGAAATTCCTTCATTACGGTCCCTTTTCTAATCCTCTTTATCCTTTGTGTTTCCTCTTTAGACTTTTCTTCCTCAGCTTTAATTTTCGGTCTGTCACTATTAGAAATTATTAAATTTCCGACCACCTGAAAGTGATTTTAAATCAAGTTGAAAGCAAAAAGTGGTCGGAAATAATAATAATAATAATAATAATAATAATAATAATAATAATAATAATAATAATAATAATAATAATAATAATAATAATAATAATAATAATAATAATAATAATAATAATAATAATAACAACAACAACAATAACAACAATAACAACAATAACAACAATAACAACAACAACAATAACAACAACAATAATAACAACAATAATAACAACAATAATAACAATAATAATAACAATAATAACAATAACAATAATAACAATAATAACAATAACAATAATAACAATAAGAATAATAACAATAACAATAACAATAACAATAATAACAACAATAACAATAATAACAATAATAACAATAATAACAACAACAACAACAACAACAACAATAATAATAATAATAATAATAATAATAATAATAATAATAATAATAATAATAATAATAATAATTGCGGTGAAATTTGCGGATAAAGGAAGAGAGAAAATGGTTTTAATTGGGAAGCGTAAATTATGTCATTTCTTTAAAACAATAAGGATAAAGATGAAAAAAAAAAAATTAGGAAGCTAGGAGTTTATTTTGAAACGAAGGTAGCGTTCAAAAATAAGCTCTTATTTTAAGCTAGGAGCTTATTTTGGAAACATTACCGAACAGAGCTTATAGCTTATTGGTAACTTAAAATAAGCTATAAGCTCCTAAATAAGCTCCATCAAACAAAGCCTTTGTTAATACTAAATTTTATTTTTGATCAATAAAATACACAATACAAGTGCATTAAATATTTTCTTTTCAAAGGTTGACACACAAGTTATGGGTCTATGGTTGAGCCTCTACATATATATCTAAGTATCAATATAATGTCCAAAATAGTTTTGTCGGTCTCTCTTATTTTTCACGTCATTTTTCTTTATATTTTATTTTCCTTTTTTTTTTTTTAGTTAATCATCTATTGTAGAATTTATAGGACACTTGGCTTACAATCAATAATTTCCCTGCTGTCTTCCACTCAATCTCTATGAAATTTCCTTCTTCATTTTTCCTTTACACTTTTCTCATTACACTTTTCTTCCATAGCTTTCCTCTTTCCCATTGTCATCCATCTCTAGACTGCAGTTAGCTAAGTCTTCCACTCAATCTTTACGAGGTTACCCTCCTCAGTTTTTATTGCTATCTCTTCTCTTTAGAATTTTTTTTTATAATAAATCTTCCGTAAATATTACCGATTCATTCTTTCTGCATGCTCGGCCCTCAATAATGCCCTTTCCTAAAACTCTATTGCATGATTGAAAAAATCGCTAGTGCCTATGTTTTTTTTTTTTTTTTTTTTTTTTAGATTTTACAACTTGTTTAATTTTTAAAATTTTTTAAGACTTGATAATTATATATTATTTAATAGTTAATAGTTAATACTAAAATATTAAATATGAACCTAAAAAGTATTTAGGATTTGAACGATTTAGGTTATTTCGCTGAAAATGACGACGTCATTTTAAATGAAATAGCCTATTTAAAATAATAATAATAATAATAATAATAATAATAATAATAATAATAATAATAATAATAATAATAATAATAATAATAATAACTAATCCGCCGATTAGGCGGCCGTTTCGTCTAAATCACCATAGTGATAATATAGATGGTTAGCCGGCGCCTGGCATTTAGGCGCGATTTTTTCAACATAATGAGGTAAATGAAAATGAAGAATTATAATCATTTCATATACTACACATTTTTGTAGGACACTTTAGCTTTCTATGGTCTATCCCTTAAAACACGTCCGGAGACGCAGGGACCCAGACTGCGCAATAGCTAGGAAATTACTTGTAAAAATGAAGAAAAAATTGTATTGATGAAGAAAAATGATTAATTGTAAATTTAATGATATAGCATTTTGGAAGTAAGAGAAAATTTCATGGATGTGAATAACGTTATGGAGCAAAAGTGGAAAAAGTGAGCAATCTCGAATTAGATTAAAAGTAGATGGAAAAAATGAAATAGAAAAAAAAAAATTATTTATGAAAACATTATTTAGATTACATTTTTGTATCAAATATTTTATTAAATATTGTGAAGTGATAAATTTTAATTTGTCATATCTAGTATTATCCTTTAAAAAATATTCATCTAGAGGTATTAGGCGGAGATTTTTATTTTATTTTATTTGTTTTGAAGATATTAGGCAGAGATCTTTTATGTACTCAAAAAAAAAATTTTGAGAGATCTTTTATATATGTGCTTGCCAAAACTAAACAAAACTCATTTCCTAGTTTGTTTCACACAAAAGTTTAGAAAAATCATCTCCTCATCTACGTACGCTTGTTTTTGCGGACATAAGTAATGTTGGGAAATATTTGTTACTTAATAAAAGAAAAAATATAATATTTTGAATAAAAATACAAAAATATTACATTTTTTTTCTAAAAAGTTTTACATTTGCTTATATAAGTAATAAATACTTTGTTCTTAATTAATATTACATTTGTGCGCATAAATATTATATTTTCATATTGACCCGACCCGTCTCACGGTGAGACAGTCTCACACAAGTTTTTGCCTTTAGTTTGCAAGAGATGATCATTAAAATAGCTTTTTTCACAATATGACACTTCCCTAAGAGGAGTACATTGAAATTTCTTGGATTCTTTGTGTAGATAGCATGAAAGAACGTAGTCCACCCACTACTACACCTTTTGACAGTCCAATAATTGTGAATATGATAATAATATTCTCAAAGTATTCAATTTTATTAATAATACTTGATTTACAGAAAGTCTATAACCACAACTTGAAAGTGTGATTTATATGAAACTCGTTTTTTTTTTTTTAATTCTAATTAATAAAGAATTATAAAAAAAAATAAACAAAGGTCGTCTGACCCGCGAGTTCAAAGTGATCCATCACTTCAGGAGTTGCACCTGAGTTTGGCTTGTCATGCTCCCACCCTCCGCCCCCAATTCCTGTCTCTACTAGCAATACTTTTATTCTTTTGCAGGATGCACATGTTACAGAGCAGGCCCAGGAGGCCCACACTCAGAATGATATGGAACCTGACTTAACCCAAGTGGCTATCGCCCAGGACTTTGACAGTGCTTTGGATGACCACTTGGTCTCAGTTCTTGGTCATGGCGAGCTTCCTCAGGAGCCTCATACTCGATCACATGAGGAACCGCAAGATCAATCACAGGAGGAGCTCCACACACAGTCTCAAGTAAACATGGGGCCTTTACCATCGGGTCAGGGCCTCACCCAAGATTTATCGCAGACTGATTTTTAGTCCCCAATGCAAGAAAATAATGACGGAAACCCTACTAAGCCTCTATCTACTCCAGGGACTGCTAGCTCTACTGGTCAGGTTTGCTCTAGTCCTCTTGTTGCTCTAGATTCTGAGGGCTTGTTGACGCCAGTTGGGGGTGGGGGGACTGGACTGTGTAATCTTAACACAATCCAGGTCACTATTCCCATGGTGTCCCCGGATGTTCAACATGTCCAGCCAGTTAGACGCCCTCGGAGAACTCGGTCAGCGTCGGAGCGTTCCAACGTTGCTGGGTTCTATCGTGAGGCGTCTGACGATGATAGCGATTCTTTTGTCGCTGGTAGAGTTGCTACCTTTGAGTCCGTGGGGCGTCATAAGGAGCCGGTGGGACATGGCTCGCCCCCTAGGACCACTCAGGTGCCCTTCGGTGGCAAGTACACTACATCTCAGGCACAGCAGGAGCGGAGTAGTGCGGCCTTTGGCACGCCTATCTCTTCTCAATCCCCCTCTTTTTGATGATGTGATTCCTAGTTTGGAACGTGCGGGGTATTGCCTCGCGAGGCTCTTTTCAGAGATTGCACTTGTTGCTTAGAAAACATAAGCTTTTTATTTTATGCCTCATTGAGCTGTTTTGTGGTACTGATAGATTGGATACCTTTAGGCTGCGGCTTGGCTTTGACTTTGCTTTTGCAGGGGTTAATGATAAGTTGTGGCTTTTTTGGAACTCTAACGTGGTTTTGAATTTTGAATCTGAATTTGATCAGTTTGTATCTGTTGCATGTGGTCATGCTACTATTCCATCTGCTTTCTGGCTTTCTTTTGTGTATGCTAAAACTAGGGACCCCCTAAGGGTTCCTTTATGGGCTGAGTTGCTCGCAGTCTCAAATACGATCCCTTCGGGCGTTCCCTGGTATGGGGTGGGTGATTTTAACTGCTTGCTAAATGTGGAAGAGAAAAAAGGGGGTCTCCCTTATCCTCATAGGAAGACTACTGATTTCTGAGAATGTGTCAGTACGTGTGATTTGATTGACTCTTCTGCCTACGGCTCCCCCTACACTTGGTGGAATGGGAGGCGTAAGGACGCTGCTATTTGGATGCGCTTGGATCGGTTTCTTTACACCTTAGTGTGGGAATCGATATTCAGGACATCCGTTCAGCATTTATCTAGGACCACGTCTGACCACTGTCCGTTACTTGTTACTTCATAAATTATAACTGCTCAACCCGTTCCAAAACATTTTATTTTTCTTAATGTGTGGACCAAACATGAGGATTTTCAGCGAGTGGTTAGAGTAAGTTGGGAGGTTCCTGTTGAGGGAGCCCCAATGTATGTCTTGGATACTAAGCTTTCTAGGTTAAAAAAGGCCCTTGATCCTTGGAGTAAGGAAACCTTCGGTAATATTTTTTCTAAGTTGCAAGAACTGGAAGATAAGGTACAGGTGCTAGAAAAGGTGTTTCAACAAAATCCTGATGATGATAGGGCACTCATTGACTATAAGGAGAGTGTGGCCCTCTTGCATAGACAGGTTTCCATCGAGGAAGAATACTGGCAGCAAAAGGCTCACATGGTGGCCGTTCAGGAGGGTGATAGGAACTCCAAGTTCTTTCACTCGATGGTAAAAGAACGAAGGAGGAAACTCTATATTCATAAGGTAAAAGATGACACAGGACAATGGATTGAGGATAGACAGGGGATAGCACAAAATGTTGTCTCCTTTTTTGAAGGGTTATTCACTACGGAGGCAGGTACTTTTGATTTGTCTAAACTTGATTGTGTGCCGCGTCTAGTTACTGATATTGATAATGCTATGCTTATTGATATCCCCGAGGAAGATGAGATTATAAATGTTGTGTTTGCTATGAATTCTGTTAGTGCCGCAAACCCTGATGGGTTTTCTAGGGCATTCTATAAATCTTGTTAGGAGATTGTTAAGGGGGATGTGGTTAATATGGTTAGGAGTTACTTCCTTGGTAGGGAGATCACCAGGTCTATTACTCACACCTCCATTGTGTTATTGCCCAAAAGAGCCAGCCCAGAGACATTTGTTGATTATAGACCCATTAGTTTGTGCAACTTTAGTAGTAAAATTGTCACTAAGTTAATGGTAGTCAGGTTGGCTTCTGTTCTCCCGAGATTGTTGTCTCCTCACCAAAGTGGTTTTGTCTTGAGGCGGTCAATCACTGATAATATTTTGCTTGCCTCTGAGATGTGCCATGGTATAAAACTAGGGAAAGGATGTAGTGCTGAAGCTAGACATGGCTAAGGCCTATGATCGGGTTTCGTGGTTTTTCCTTGTTTCTGTGATGCGTAGGATGGGATTTTCTGAAGTCTGGATTGACTTGGTCTATCGTGCGGTCTCAAATGTGTGGTACTCTGTCATTGTCAATGGGGTCAAAGAGGGCTTCTTTACCTCGTCTCGTGGGTTGAGGCAAGGAGACCCATTGTCCCCTAGTCTTTTTATCATTGCTGCAGAGATCCTTTCTATGTACATTGCTCGAGTCCATCTGGACGAGGGGGTCCCTAGGTTCTCTCAGCCTGCTGGTACCCCTCATATTCATCACTTAGCTTACGCTGACGATGTTATTATTTTTAGTACTGGGAGGCAGGGGACAATCTGCAAAGTCATACGCGCTTTAAAAGATTATGAGGATATTTCTGGCCAAATGGTCAGTTTCCCTAAGAGTGCTTTTTATATGCATCCTAACACTTTGGGTCCGGTTATTCGTAGGATTAGGGATATCACTAGATGCATTCATAGGTCCTTCCCTTTCACTTATCTTGGGTGTCCTATTTATGTGAAGAGGAAGAAGTGTGTCTATTTTTCATCTGTGGTGGACAAGGTTAAGGCCAAATGCCTTGGGTGGCAACGTCGGTTGCTATCCAAGGGGGGGAAAGCGGTTCTTATTACTTCTGTTTTGCAGGCTATCCCTTTACATCTCTTTGCAGCTTGTGCTCCTAAATAGGTTATCCGTGATCTTGAGCGGTGTTTCACGAACTTCTTTTGGCGACAGCCGGGAGGTGCACGTACAATTGGGCATCATGGAAAACGCTCCCCCTCCCTAAAAAGGAGGGTGGTGTGGGCTTCCTTGACATGGACTTAATGGTACGTGCATCGAGTGCAAAGCTTTGGTGGAATTTTTGCAAGGTGTATTCACTGTGGGGAAGTTTCATGACTGCTAAGTACTGCCGCCGAGTTCACCCGGTGGCAAAATCAGTGCGAAGTTCTGACTCACACACTTGGAAGCGGATGCTCGGCGCCAGGAATGAGGTGGATGCAGTCTTGGGATGGCGCCTGACTCACGGCGATGTTAACCTTTGGTGGGATAACTGGTCTGGACTTGGCCCGCTCGGACGCCTTTACCCCTTCCTGAGGGTTGAGTACTCTGGTGATTGGATGTCTGACTTCATCCAGGACGGGGAATTGGACTTGTCGGCCTATGATGACTTTCTGCCGGCTGGGTTGGAGGCTGACATGTCCCGATTGGGCCAAAGAGTGGCTGACATCCCTATTTGGCGGGTAGCTACGGACGGTTTGTTTTCTTTCTCTTCTGCAAAATCATTATTAAGACCTGAACCAGTGAATTCTGATCCTCTTTTGAGGGCATGTTGGCATAAACACTTGCCCTTTAAGGTGTTCTTTCTCGTTTGACGTGTATTACGGGGCCGTTTGCCCACTGAAGATGCCATAGCTGGATTTGGGCACCTTATTGTTTCCAGATGTTGGTGCTGCAGTAACCCTGCTAGGGATACCATTGATCACATCTTTTATGCAGGGGACACTGCCCGGGCTGTATGGGGATTTTTTATGGGATCACTTGGCTTGAGATTCAGTCATTGGGGTCTACGGACGCTGTTGACTGGGTGGAAGCGAGCGGTTTCACATAATCGTCTTGTTGCTTTTGTTATTTGCAGGTTGCCTTATCTCATCCTTTGGGAGTTATGGAAACATAGGAACACATGATTGCATGGCAGAAGACCACCGAGTGTGCCTCAAGTGGTGTATGCCGTTGCCAAAGGGGTGGCAGAATGTCTCTTTAGGCGATGGCCGCGGGAACACATTCTACCACCAAACTGGTCTGTCATTCTATCCTATATAGATTCCACTGCCCCGCGATGCGTGGTTCGTGCTATTAGGTGGGATCCCCCTCCGGATGGCTCTATAAAGCTTAATCTCTCATACTCGGAGTCGGTGGGTGGGACTGCTGCCTTGGTATGTAATCGGGAGGATGGGGGGGGGGGGGGGGGGTTCTGCTACGGCTTGGCCATTTCGGCAGTCGGCGGGTTTCGAGATTTTTTTCATGTTATGCACCGCTGTCTTGAATGGTGTTTAGCCGAGGGTTTTAGGTCCCTGGTCCTAGAGTCTGTTTTTCCTTAGCTTAAGGGTTATGTTGATCCCTCCACTCCTAGTACATGGGTTTTTTACTCTGAAGTGTCACGGCTCCGGTTTCTTTGCTCCTGTGCATCGGTTTCTGTTCTTCAGTGTTTGCCGCAGGGTAATCTCCCTGCGACTACATTGGCAGATTGAGTTGGGGATAAGGATGTGGAGTTTATTTTTCTTAATTTGTTTGACTTACTGCCGAGAGTGCGTGCTTTGCTTGTTCATGATGATGTCCCGAGGGGATTGGCACATAGTCCTTCAAGTTTTGAAATTTAACCAGTTGTGGTCCTTTTGAAAGGACCATGGTTGGTTGAAATTTAATAGTTGAAGGAATATGGGTGGTTAACTTCGACCACGAATGGCTAAATTTGAAAGTCAAAGGACCACAGATGGTCAATTTGAAAGTTTATGACTAAACGTGGCAAAAGCACTATACTCGGAGGACCTCGGATGGTATTATCTCGTAATAAAAATATATCAAAGGAGGTGAATAAGTCAATGGCGATGGTAAAAAAAGTACCCCCGCGTGATATAAATGCTCTTAGCTTTCCTGTTTCCCTTTGTCATCAATCTCTGGACTTCAGTTAGCTGTCTTCCACTCAATCTCTATGAAATTTATTTGATTCTTTATTTAGGCATTATTACAAATTCATGTCTGAAATGGTATTGCATATCCCACTCATTTTTCATGTCCTTTCTTTTTAGACTTTTCTTCTCTCTTTCCCATTTGTATTTTCGTTTGAACTTTTGTGTAGTAAATCATTGAGAAAAAAAAAGTCCATTTTCTATGCACTTTCCCTCTTCTTTTCTCAGATATACTTTACCATTTCCCAATAAAGATAAAATTATAATTTATGCTATTCATAATATGCCAATTATTAATGTCACCTCTAAATTATTAGTGGTCTAAATGTTGTCTCCCAATTTTCAAAACGATACGTATATTGCTCATCCCGTTGTGTAAATGTTGTCCCTCAATTTTTCTCTCATACGGTACGAGAGGGCAATATATGTACCGTTTGAAAATTACGCGGCAGCATTTACACCACTAATAATTTATGAGTGACATTAATAATTGACATTTTATGGAGGAGCATAAATTACAATCCCCATATTTTAATTTGAACTTTAACTTTAAATTTTATTATATGTACTTCTTGTTGAAAATCCGTTGGTGAAAACAAATAACAATCCAATAAAATAAGATTATTATTTTTCTGGAAAATAAGGAAGGAAAGATGGAGAATTTGGCTAGTGTTTGGTGTTGGGTTTTTAGTAAGGGTCAAGCGATCACTCTTTCTTTAAAACATTATATGCCACCTCTCAAAAGTGCTAGGAGCTTCGTGGCCTAGGCTTCCCAGGATAAAACTTGCTTATGATTCAATGTTTGAGCACCCAAACAAGGAATCTGGCGAACAAAGCAAGGTTATGAACACAGTAGGCTTTAAGAGAAGGAGTAGAAGCAGAATTTTGACTTGAAAAACTCAAAGTTTCGTGTAGTGTGGCATAACTTAGCCCGCAAGGCCAGCCAATCCGGACGACATTCGTGCCCGCAGGTGCCGGCGCACACGAGCTCGGGCTTGATCAAGCCTTTTCGCTCTCTTTTCTGGTAGGAATTTGATTTGCACACGAACTGGCGTTATCTCGATTGACTACGTAAAGTCAAAAGACAATATAGCGGATTTGCTGACCAAAGGGTTAGGCAAAGAAGTTGTGGAGAAGTTGACACGAGAAATGGGTATATTGCCCTTGGACTAAAAAGTTCTATAGTGGATACCCAACCTAGCTGGCACCTAGGTTCAATGGGACAACTAAATTATAGAACGGAGCGTGTCACTGTGGGGGGTCTCGGACACCCTACCACTCCTCGTTAAAACAGTGACTCCCGCACGAGGCTAGCATGTTGATGCTTTAATGATTCTTGAGTATGCGGGATACTCGAGAAAGAATCACCTATGTAAGAGAGAAGTGAGGGTCGCTTCAAAGGAGAATTGTTGGGCACAATTCTTTAGAAACTCTCGCAGAACCAGGAACGGTGACCCACGACCAAAATGGGCACACTCGTGAGAACAAAAGCATGGTTGGGAGGTTCCTGTGTGAGATATGTCATTGTCTACACAAACGGCAGTCGGTTCAAAGACATCGCGTTCTATCGTACAACCAGTAGAGTAAACATGTCTTCACAAGGGAAGGTTCAAAGAGTATAGTGACTCCCTACCTATCCTATGCAGGGATCGACCGTTTGAACACAGTTGTTTCCGATTTCAAAATACCCTGAAAATCAATTTTTCATTCATGTGCGGGATTGTTGGAAAAAATAGCTTAAAATGGCATAAATGGCATGTTAAGTGGCTATTTTGTGGTACAATTATCAGTGGGGTCCATTTTCGGTTTGGGTTGGGTCAAAGTGGATTCGGATTCTTCGTAGTGAGACGAAGAGATTGATATATTGTACGCTCAAAACGGATAATGGGTGAATGAGATATTGATTCTCAAAGTAGACCCATTTGAGTTGGAAAATGAAGGGAAAAAGTGAGCTTTTGTCCCACATTGGTTTGGAAAGAGGACTTGCCCCCCTTTTTATAAAAGAGCTCTTTTGGAACTTGTAGAATTGTATAGCATAGAGGCTCTCTCGCGCGGGGGGGGGGGGGGGGGGGTGTGCAAATCAAATTCCAACTAGAAACGAGAGCGGCTTGATTCAAGCCCGAGCTCATGCCAAATTAGCCACTGATAGTGCTAGGCCGAAACTTGTAAGTTTCGGCCACCATGAGGCTTTAGCCGAAACTGTTACAGGAGTTGTAGGGGTGCCTTTAAATGCCAAATTAAAAGCTACTTAATCCTTCAATCCTATATTAGAGAGGGTAGAGGTAGCAGACTGTTACAGGAGTTGTAGGGGTGCCTTTAAATGCCAAATTAAAAGCTACTTAATCCTTCAATCCTATATTAGAGAGGGTAGAGGTAGCAGAATTTACACACAGATCATTTTTTTTTTTGCCTCAAAACTCTCTGCTTCTACTCTTTCTTAGCCATACTGTGTTCATAACCTTGCTTTGTTCGCCGGATTCCTGGGAAGCCTAGGCCACACCGCTCCTAGCACTTTTGGGAGGTGGCAAATAAGGTTTTAAGGAAAGAGTGATCGCTTGACTTTTGCTAAAAACCCAACACCAAACACTAGCCAAATTCTCCATCTTTCCTTCCTTATTTTCCAGAAAAATAATAATCTTATTTTTATTGGATTATTATTTGTTTTCACCAATAGACGTCCAACAAGATAGTCTACTGCAAATTCAATTATATGTAATGTTGTGTTCGAACGAAAAGATATATAGCGTCTCATTGTTAGTAACCAATAAAAAAAATTCACTACTCACTATTATGGAGCAATAATTATTTATATTTCATTTTCGTATAATGAAATTCTTTATATACCAAATTTTACTTACATCCTTCTCTCAATATTTTTACATTCAATTAAAATAGCTATTTATTTAATTACTAAGCAAAATAGTCTGTGTAGTGTTTCTTTTAACTGATTTGTTTTTATGTGTAGGATACGAAAAAGATTGAATTGATTGTATTAAATTCTCCAATGAAAAATATGGAGTACAAATACAATAAAAAAGCATTTAAGGACATGAAGAATTTAAGATTTCTTCAAATTGATGGAATCCACTTAGAAGGAAACTTTAAACATCTACCACGCAACACACTTAGATGCTTGCAATGGAATGAATGTCCTTTGAAATATATTCCATCCGGTTATTTTTTTGAGAAGCTCGTGAAGCTGGTAATGCGATGGAGCAACATTAAAGAATTTGGAGCCCCATTAAAGGTAATTTGGCAATACTTTTTTCTATTTAATAGCTCTTTGCTTATAATAAAATTTTTAAAGACTACAATAACTTCTAATTCAAATTTTTTTAAATTTGTTCTATGGCTTTTATTTGTTGAATCCATTGAAATAGTATTTTCCATGTCTTGAGTCTTTGGATCTTGGAGGGTGTAAATATCTCACGAGGACTCCAAACTTTAGCGGTGCTAAAAATCTTCGTAAGCTATCATTTATGGAATGCTCAAGTTTGGAGAAGGTGCACTCTTCCATTGGAGACATGAAGATGCTAGTTGAATTAGATTTGAGTTATTGTGAAAGGCTGAAGAAACTTCCAAAGAAGTTTTGGCATTGGCAGTTGAGATCAGCAGAAGATCCATCTTCATCATCATCAGTGTGTTATTCCTCAAAAATAAAAGAATTGGGTGAAAATTCGGGGATGTTAACCTCACTACAAATTTTGAACTTACATAGAACCAATATTCACAGCCTGCCCGCCAACACTACCTCTCATTTGTTAAAGCCTCCTAAATCAATCCCAAATTTATGGAGGAGTTTCTTCCAGAATGACCACCTCAAACTAATCCCACAATTTCCTCCTAATCTTCAGCATATTAGCTTATACAAATGCAAAAACTTGGAAGTAGTCTCAGCAACATTTCCTACTTGCCTTTAGCGGATTTTTTTATATGACTGCACAAACCTAAAAATGCTGCTTGAACTTCCTCAAAATCTCCAATCTCTTTCTGTTATCAATTGTGAGTCGCTGGAAACAGTATACTTACCAAAGATGTTGAAATATGTGAATCTCACCCATTGCAAAAAATTAAAGGAGATTCAAGGCTGGGAGAATGCTCAATTTTTAACGAAAATCGAATTAAGAGGTGTTCCCAATATCAAGTTATCAGAAATCATAAATAAGGTAGATATACCTCTCTTCTCTATCTCTCTTCAATTTGTGTTATGTACAGCATCTTCAATTCTCTCTCTTCAAGTTTTAGTAGGGATTAATACATAAGATAGATAGAAGTTGGTGCATCATTTCTACCCAATCTTACTCTTTTCACAATTGTCTGTTTTTCTTATACAGGTTTTAAAAGTTTCCAAGTTGAATTCCAATATTGAATTTGAAGGATATCTTCCAAATAATGGAACTTTGAGTTGGATTAAGTTTGAGGAAAATGAATCATCAATATCTTTCCAATGGCCGCCATTAATATCTAATTTGGAATTCCTTGGAATTTGCATTTGGGTGGGACTACTGTGGCTCGACGCTAAAGATTGTTATAAATACTATGGCACAATTGAAAAGGATGGCTTCACAGTCTGGAGTCTTAATTGGTATTCATTACTAAATGGAGTCCAAGTCGAATTATTAGAAGAAGGGGAAAATGTTGTTTCATTTGTAGATTTCATTCCACAGGATTGCTTTATAGATATAAAAGCTGGAGAAATCTTTAAAGTTATTCTAGAGGTGAGGGTCGTAGAAGATGTTAATAAAGGTTGGGTGAAGAAAATAAGAGCAGAAGCATTGTATAGAGATAGAGAAAATGGCTTCCTACAATTTTTACCCATTACTAAACTTGAGTCCAACACAAAATGACTTTTGAAGTCCGCCCAAAAATATTTCTTTTTCATAATTTTTTTTGTTAATAATATTATTCCACATTCTGTAACGTCTTTGTGCTTATTAATTAATTAAGAGCATTATATTTTGTACTTTCAAAGTACTTTTGTGATGATGAATTAGTGAGTTGACTATTTTTCAACAATATTATTTCTCAGATTAAATTTGTGCATAATTTAAATAGAATATGTAAGAAGACTCATTCCACAAGGTTGAGTGAGAAGTTGTTAAGAATTGAAACATGACTTTTTAAGTATGAAAATTAGGTGTAATCTACTCAATCATCTTTTTGGAGATATTATTTTTATGTTTGTCATAATCAGTATTCTTTCAGGAGATCAGCAGATTTTATCCTAGCATGACACTTGTCACCATCCTAGGCCCTTGGAAGTTTAGAAATTGAAGTGTTGTTATAACTGCTTTCCCACCTTTTCTTTCTAAGTCTTTTTCCTCTGTTGTATATATGAACTTCAATGTGTATCTTTCACAAGCTAATGAGAAATTCCCTTCTTTCTTTCTCCCTTCTTTTCATATTTCCTGAGCTCCGCAACATGGTATCAGAGCTGCATTTTTAGAAGCTTCCATCCACCCTACAATGGCGTCGACAGCCTGGCCTTCTCTGAGCAATCGAACACTAGCGATTGACAATACAGCAGCCAGTCCAACCGTCAACCCAAACACGATGAATTCAACACCTCCTCCTTCTGTTCCGGCGACCGGATTGAATGGAAATGAGGTAACATTCGACCCCCAATCACAATCCAATCCTTACTTCCTTCATATCAACGAAAATCCGGCCTTAGAGCTAGTTTCTACTCCCCTCGATGGTCCGAACTACCACTCGTGGGCTAGGGCAATGACAATGGCCCTCTCATGTAAAAATAAGGTTCCATTCATCAATGGAAGTATTATGAAGCCTAATACAGATAACCTAAACAGATATCTAGTCTGGGAAAGGTGCAACAATATCGTATCTACTTGGATTGTGCGCACACTTTCCCCCACCATTGCTCGTAGCGTGTTATGGATTGACACGGCTCATGGCATTTGGAATGACTTGAAAAGGAGATTCAGTCAACAAGACTTGTTTCGGATTGCTGAAATTGAATGTGAAATCTACCAAAGCAAGCAGGGGGACAACTCTTTGAATGATTATTTCACTAGACAAAAGCTTTTATGGGATGAGCTGGGCATTCTTAGGCCTCAAATGAATTGTGTTTGTAGCACAAAGTGTGAATGTGGGAAGAGAATTGATGAGTTAAATGAACAGGCAGAAAAGGACAAATTGTCTATCTTTCTCATTGGACTACATGAGAAATACACAGGTGCTAGGAATCAGATCATGTTGATGAAGCCACTCCCAAATGTTAATGAAGCCTACTCTATGATTGCTCAACAAGAGAGGCAGTTCCACATGGCCTACAATGGTTTTGGGAGTCAGTTATACCAGGCAGGGGAGAATGGTACTGCTGCTAGTGCACTTCTGGCTAGAACAGATGTTAACCACCAGCAAGGGTTCAAGAAAGCATCAGGATTCAACAAGAAACCTGTGTGTACATATTGTGGGTACACAGGTCATACCCAGGACAAGTGTTATAAACAGCATGGATACCCTCCCGAATGGAAACCAAGGCCAAGAAACCAATCTGTGAACCAGATCCAAGGTCCACCAGTAACACAACACCACAACACTAATGGGAATATGGCATTCACTCAAGATGATGTGAAAAGATTCATGGAGTTCATACAGGCCAAGAAACCAGTTGGAGAAAGTCTGAACTCACCTCAGGACCTCAATCATCCCTCACAAGCCCAAGCCAACACTGTGGCAACGGAATTTCATAATGAAAGTATGCCTTCTTTAGTAAATTCTGTTAAGCATGGTAGAACAGATTGGATTATTGATAGTGGTGCTACACACCATATTGTGTGTGATCTAGAGTTGTTAGACAATCAGAAAAGGGCACATAATATGTATGTTAGCATGTCAAATGGGCAGCAGGCTGCCATTGATTTTACAGGATCAGTCCACTTATCTGATAATTTGGTTCTGCACAATGCTCTCTACATCCCTGAGTTCCATTACAACTTGATCTCTTTGAGCTCTTTTATTAAACACTCTAACCACATTGTGAAGATCTACTCTAACCAATGCATTATACAGGATGTTTCCCATGGCAAAATGATTGGAAGAGCTGAGCTGAGAAATGGGCTCTATTACTTAGTTTTTCCCATTCCTGCATATTCTGTATGTAGTTCTATTTCAGTTGCAAATAAATGTATTCTATGGCATGCCGGGCTTGGGCATGCCTCACATTCAAAATTAGAATACTTGAAAGAAATAGAACCAATGATTCAGTTTAGCAAGGATATGATATGTGATAGTTGCCATTTTACAAAACAAAACAGCAGAGTAAAAAGGAAACATGGTCATTTGCTATCCACTGCTAGAGCCCTAAAATTTCAGGCCAATTTGCCAGATAAGTTTTGGGGAGAATGTGTCCTACATGAAGCCTACATAATCAATAGACTTCTATCTACTGCCATCAATAACCAAGTTCCATATCAAGTTCTGATTAAGAAGACCCCATCCTATCAACACTTGAGGGTTTTTGGATGCCTAGCATATGCCACCACTGTTGGGCCCAAGACAAAGCTGGAATCTAGAGCCAAGAAATGTATTTTTCTTGGCTATGCAGGTGGAACAAAAGGGTACAAGGTATATGACCTTGCTTCCAAAGAGTTATTCATATCTAGGGATGTTGTCTTTCATGAGCTGGTATTCCCCTTTCAACACTCTATGACTCCAGAAGTGAGATCGGAGATCATACTTCCTACCATGGTTCCTGCATTTCTTGAGGACCATGATGTGCCTCAGACTCAAGGTCAAACTAGCAGAGAAAGTGAACAAGCTTGGCCTCATTAGGATCTTACTCCTCAGCAGTCACCAGCTAGGGAAAATGATCACAACCACTCTCATTCAGCACAACCACCAAGTGAGATGCAGAGTTCAACTAGCAGTTGTGATGAATATGTTGTGTTTCCTCCTGAACTGCTATCCAATACAATCCATAATTCTCAACAACAAGATACCAGGAGATCCACCAAGCACAGGCGAGCTCCAAATTACTTGCAGGATTATGTCTGTCAAAGTACCAAACTAAAAACTTCTCCTCATCCAATGTGCAAGGTGATAGATTACAGTGGCTTGACATCATCCTTCCAGTCATTTGTGATGAATATATCTCACCAATCTGAACCTAGAAACTACCATGAAGCAGTAAAACATGAATGTTGGAGAAAGGCTATGCAAGATGAGATTGATGCATTGCAGAAGAATAACACTTGGCAGCTGGTGGATTTACCTCCTTCTAAAAACCCATTGGATGCAAATGGGTGTATAAAGTAAAATACAAGGCTGATGGCAGTGTTGAAAGATAAAAGGCTAGACTTGTGGCAAAGGGGTACAATCAGACTCTTGGTATTGATTACTTAGACACATTCAGCCCAATTGCTAAGATGACTACTATTAGAACATTGTTAGCAGTGGCAGCAGCAAAAAACTGGGAACTTCATCAAATGGATGTGAATAATGCTTTCCTAAATGGGGACTTAGAAGAGGAGGTCTACATGCAAATGCCTCTTGGATATTCAGGAAAGAGTAATAACCAAGTATGCAAACTGATCAAGTCCTTGTATGGCCTAAAACAGGCCAGCGGGCAATGGAATACCAAGCTCACACTTGCCTTACAAAACATGGGGTTTAAGCAGGCAGTCCCTGACAACTCCTTGTTTACTAGAGGTAAAGAAGAGTCCTGTGTGGCACTATTGGTCTATGTTGATGATATTGTGATTGCAAGTGCATATTTGAAGGTTATACAAGAAGTCAAACAGCAACTCAGCACAAATTTTCAAATAAAGGATCTAGGTCCTTTGAAGTATTTCCTCGGCCTAGAAGTGGCAAGGCACAGTAAAGGCATTGCAGTGTGTCAAAGAAAATATGCCATTGAGCTCCTTGAAGATATAGGTTTCACAAATGCAAAACCTGTCTATAGTCCTACAGTCCCTTCACACAAATTGAGCAAAAATGAAGGTGAACTTCTAGAGGATAACAGCCAGTACAGGAGGATCATTGGCAAATTACTCTATTTAACTGTCACCAGGCCTGACGTTAGCTTTGCAACACAACAGCTTTCTCAATTCCTTGACAAACCTACAAATCTGCATCTCCAAGCTGCCTACAGAGTGCTGAGGTATTTGAAAGCAGCTCCTAGCCAAGGACTGTTCTTCCCATCCTCTTCTGTCTTACATCTAAAAGCCTTTTCTGACTCAGACTGGGGTGCATGTGTTGATACCAGAAAATCTGTGACTGGCTTTTGCATTTTCCTTGGGAATGCTTTGATCTCTTGGAAGTCTAAGAAACAGCCCACAGTCTCCAAGTCCTCATCAGAAGCAGAATATAAGGCACTGGCAACTACAACATGTGAGATTCAATGGTTAAGATTTCTACTATCAGAATTTGGAATACAACATGATGGGGTGGTGGCCATATATTGTGATAGAAAATTTGCTATTGTAATTGCAGAAAATCCAGTATTTCATGAAAGGACAAAACACATAGAGCTTGACTGCCATCTTGAGAGAGAAAAGGTACACAAAGGATTCATCAAACTCTTTCATATCTCCTCTGAAAATCAGTTAGCAGATCCATTCACCAAAACTCATTGTCCAGCTTCCTTTCAGAATTATGTTTCCAAGCTTGGCTTGATAAATCTGTACAATCCAGCTTGAGGGAGGCTTTCAGCAGATTTTATCCTAGCATGACACTTGTCACCATCCTAGGCCCTTGGCAGTTTAGAAGTTGAAGTGTTGTTATAACTGCTTTTCCCACCTTTTCTTTCTGAGTTTTTTTTTTCCTCTGTTGTATAAATGAACTTCGGTGTGTATCTTTCACAAGCTAATGAGAAATTCCCTTCTTTCTTTCTCCCTTCTTTTCATCTTTCCTGAGCTCTGCAACATATTCAGTAGGTGATTATTATTTTTAAGAAATATTAAATAGACTAAATATTGGGCCCTGCCGTGCATTATATGACAAATACATAAATGCATGCTGAAATGTCTTCGTTAGTTCCTTGATGGCCGGCAATTTATATCATGGACCAAGGTCCACATAGTATTGTGGACCCTAGATCAAAACGATGTTGTTTTGACATTTAAGCGTTAATAGATTCTGTAGTTTCTCGTTCTTCATGTTTCAATACAACTTTTAATTTATTTTAGGTATAGAATCAATACTTTTAAGATACAAAATTTAATAACACGAGACATAAAACTCACAATACAAGACATACGCATGTTATATATTTATTTATGAATTTACTATCGAACTTGTAAAGTTACCAATTTGTTCCTCGAGGATTTTTCGTGCCCAATTAAGTCCTCGACTTTGAAAATGTTAACTATTTTAGTCTTCCGTTTGTTTTGTTGTTAGACATCTGTTAACTCTGGAACAAATTGGTAATTTTGCTATAGTCAATGGACCATTTCAGTAATTAACTTTCGGAAAAAATGGTGCGCGTAATGACCGTAATTAACATTTACGTGAATTTTTATTTTTTTTGGAAATTCGTGAATATTTAATATGTTCAAAATTAGAACTAATTACATTTACGCACCTTAAGCTATAAAACTACTCACCTTGAGTTTTGAACTGATATACCTTAAACTAGAAAAGTGACGCACCTTAAGCTATAAAATTACGTACGCACTTTAACCTTAAAAGGATGTCACAGAAAGTAGTAGCTTTTTTTTTTTTTAAGAAACCGCTACACTTTTAAATAAAAGTGTAGTGTTTTCTGATATATTTATTTATAGTTTTTCATCACACTTTTTTTTTTTTAACTTTACACTACAGTTTTATTAAAAGGTGTAGCAAAAACACATGCTTTTATGTTAATTTTTGTAATAGTGGGTAGATAAAAGTGAGTCCAATAAATTACTTAAAGCCCATTCTAAAGTATCCCTTCTAGATGGCAATTTATACCCTACACCACGGCGCGCGTTGCAATATGCGCCCAGATGCAAAACGATGTCGTTTTATTATTTTTTTTTTTTTTTGAAATTTCCCGCCCCAGTGAATGGCAGTAGTTTTTTCTTTAAAAAAACCCCACTGTTCAAGAATGTACATAATGTTATACTAGAATACACATAATTGTATACATGAATGTACATAATTATATAACAAAATATACATACTCTTTTTAAAAGATAATGCACATAATCTAACATAATACATAATAAACATAAACTTTTAACATAATACACATCAACTATTAACATAATACACACAAATTTTCTGATTCGGATGTACATAATTGTATAAAAAGAATGTACATAATTGTATAAAAAATGTACATAACTGTATGAACCAATACACATAACTGTATGAACAAATACACATAACTGTGTGAACAAATACACATAATCCCAGCAACTTCCTATCGCGCCTCCCAAAATGACCCCAAAACGACGTCGTTTTGGGAGGCGCGCGACGCACAGTGCTATGTGCGCCGTGGTGTAAGGTATAACGATTGTTTTAGGTCTTCCTATGTTTGAAGGCCTATATGTTTTTTTTTTTTTTAGGAGGAAGGCCATATGTTATGTTTTTTTGAAGAAAGAAGGCCATATGTTATAATCGTATGCATATATACATTTTCATATTTCGATTTCAATTATTAATTGTTAATTATGGAATGGACAAATTTATTGAGAAGTAATAGTGTACTCAAAAGTCTAAAGCTTGGAAAATAGCAATCCCAACTGGTCTCTTGGCTTACCGATTATACACCCTCAACTAGTTTATATTATGTTACTCCAGCGATAAAGTTTGTTGTGAATCATAAATAAAAATTTATATTTTAAATATATTAAAAATAAATTATTTATGTACTGAATGTATAATATTTAATAATATGAAAAATAATATACATTCAATATTCAAATGATCTATTTTCAAATAATGTACCTTTAATTTTTTTTTTTTTTTTTTTTTTGAGAATAAGAACTTAATGTACCTTTAATATTTTTAAAAGAGTTAATAACTAAAATGGTCCCTCGACTATGTTGTAATTACCAATTTGATCCTTGACTATTATTCTTACCCAATTAAGTCCTCAACTATGCAATTTTTACCTAATTTGATCCTCCGTTAATTTCTCTGTTTGTTAAGTGTTAAAATCAGGAGCAAAATGGTAATTCTACAAGCTTTTCCCTTTTTCCAAAGAAATATTTGCGTCGGCGTCAACCAGACAGCAACCTCCAGCAACGGCAACGTTGACCATAGGAGATTCTCCCTTCGACGACGAGGAGGTTACAGCGCCGACGTCATAGCGGCGTTAGCAAACCGGCGGCGACCTCCCTTCAACGGCGATGTCCTCCCTCCAGCGACGCGGCCTTAGTGTGAGTGAATCCCAAGCAGCGGCGTTAGCAGACCGGCGGCAACCTCTCTTCAACGGCGACATCCTCCCTCCAACGATGTTGTAGCGGCGTTAGCAGACCGGCAACGAGCTCCCTTCAACGGCGACGTCCTCCCTCCAGCGACGCGGCCTTAGTGTGAGTCAATCCCAAGCAGCGGAAGAATTATCTGTTACAGCGGCGACGTCGTAGCGGCGTTAGTAGACCGGCGACGTCCTCCCTCCAGCGACGCTGCCTTAGTGTGAGTCAATCCCAAGCAGCGGAAGAGGCTAGGAGTGGTCTCTAGAAGTCCACCACTCTCCAAGATTCACTCTCGGTTACCGCCCATCAGGACCCCCAAAATCCCCGGCACTCAGGTTCTGCTCGTAGAAGCCGTTGTAATTTTCCATGTATGTGTTGAACCCTTTAATTTTGATGCTCCACAGTTTTTGATGATCTGACTGATTATTGTGATCTTGCATAGTAATTACTTTGGATTAAGTACATAATGAAAGGGAAGTGCAGAATATATTCTGCTTTGCATGTCAAGCTAAAACAGGGTCATGAGGAACCAAAATTCACTATCGAGATACGCTTTTGGTGCTGCTTCGCCTAAAGGCTCATCATCATCACCCATCTCACCCTTAAGTCAGGTTCAGCCGTTCAGGAGCTCGGCTGCTTCACTTGGGGAAGAATGGGAGAATGCTTATAGAATTACAGTTTTGCCCCCCATTTTAACGGTCAACAAACTGATAAATTAACAAAGGACTAAATCATGTAAAGATTGTATAGTTGAAGACTTAATTGGATAAGAATGATAGTTGAGGATCAAATTGATAATTACAACATAGTCAAGGGATCATTTTGGTTATTAACTCTTTTTAAAATGTTCATTTTATTCATATTCATCCAATAGTGATTACTCTAGCTCAATAACACTCATGGACTATAATGATTTGTTCAAATATAAAATAAAAGATATTTGGACAATAACCCATATGAACAATCCTACATGGACAATTGTATACACTTTTGTAGTAAATAAGCAATCGTTATGCTATGGACCCGTGTCTAGCATGCACTGTGGACACGGTTAGTGGCACCGTTATCGTTCACTTTTTTTTTTTTTTTTTTTATAAATTTCAGACCGCTTCGTTATAGGTGTATATGTTCATAATTTTATCACTATATATTCATAATTGTAAGTTCATAATGTCAGAGCTCTGTGTTCATAATTCCGTAACTGTACATTCATAATTCCGTAACTGTACATTCATAATTCAATAACTGTAAATTCATAATTTTTGAAGCTCTATGTTCACAATTTTAGAGCTCTATGTTCATAATTTTATCACTATATGTTCATATTGTAAGTTCATGATGTCAGAGCTCTGTGTTCATAATTCCATAATTGTACATTCATAATTCCATAAGTGTACATTCATAATTCCCTAACTGTACATTCATAATTTCATAATTGTACATTCATAATTTTCGAAGCTCTATGTTCACAATTTTAGAGCTTTATGTTCATAATTTTATCACTATATGTTCATAATTGTAAGTTCATAATGTCAGAGTTCTGTGTTTATAATTCCATAACTTACATTCATAATTCCATAACTGTATATTCATAATGCCACAAACGAATAACGCCGTTAATGACGAGACAAAATCAATGTTTTTTCCTTAACAAAAATACCGCGTTTTCTTTAAAAACGACGTCGTTTTGGACTCGTGTCCACAATACATTGTGGACACAAGTCCACAGCATAATTTGCAGTAAACAAGTAGCATGGCCTTATGACCTATATGCACTAGGCCCATATTCTAAATGGAGAGACGTTATGCCATGGAACCGTGTTCACCATTCATGGTGAACACGGTTCCAACGGTGTTAGTGCACCGTTATCTTTTTTTTTTTTTTAAATTAATTACGTGACTGCCTACACATTCACTTTAGAACCATGCCTACACATTCACTTTGGAACCATGAGATTATGAATTTTCTGTTATGAGATTATGAATTTTCTGTTATGAGATTATGAATTTTCAGTTATGAGATTATGAATTTTCTGTTATGCGATTATGAATTTTCTGTTATGAGATTATGAATTTTCATTACATTCATAATTTCGGAGTTTCGGACATTCATAAATTATGAATTCATGCATGCACATTCACTTTGGAACCATGCCTACATATTCCCGTCCGAAATCACGGACATTCATAAATTATGAATCCATGCCTGCACATTCACTTTGGAACCATGCCTACACATTCACTTTGGAACCATGAGATTATGAATTTTCTGTTATAAGATTATGAATTTTCTGTTATGAGATTATGAATTTTCAGTTGTGAGATTATGAATTTTCTGTTATGCGATTATGAATTTTCTGTTATGCGATTATGAATTTTCTGTTATGCGATTATGAATTTTCTGTTATGCGATTATGAATTTTCTGTTATGAGATTATGAATTTTCATCAAATTCATAATCTCATAACAGAAAATTCATAATTTGATCAGTAACGCGCCGTTAACTCCACATCCGCGATTTTTTTTTTTTTTTGCCTAAAAACGACGTCGTTTTGACTTGTGTTCACCATTCTCGGTGAACACGATTCCACGGCATAATTTGCGCTAAATAGATCACAACTCGAGTAAACTCCAACCCAACTCAACTATAAATAAATACATTAAAGCAATCAAATGACATTTCATGGAGAAATTATCAATCGTTATGCGTTGGACCCGTGTCCAGCATGCTTGCTGGACACGGGTAATAGTGCCGTTAGGCACTGTTATCTCTTTTGTTTTTTGTTTTTTTTGTTGTTTTTTTTTTTTAAAAAAAAATTTTAGACCGCTTCGTTATAGAAGTATATGTTTATAATTTTATTACTATATGTTAATAACTGTACATTCATAACTCCATAATTGTACGTTCATAACTCTATAACTGTACATTCATAACTCCATAACTGTACATTCATAACTCCATAACTGTACATTCATAACTCCATAATTGTACATTCATAATTTTCGAAACTCTATGTTCACAATTTTAGAGCTCTATGTTCATAATGTTATCACTATATGTTCATAATTGTAAGTTCATAATGTTAGAGCTCTTTGTTCATAATTCGATCAATAACTGTACATTCATAATTCCATAACTGTAGATTCATAATCTCATAATTGTAGATTCATAACTCCATAACTGTAGATTCATAACTCTATAACTGTACATTCATAATCTTCGAAGCTCTATATTCACAATTTTAAAGCTCCATGGTCATAATTTTATCACTATATATGTTCATAATTGTAAGTTCATAATGTTAGAGCTCTGTGTTCATAATTTCATAATTGCATAACTGTACATTCATAACGGCATAACTGTACATTCATCATCCAAAAAAAATAACGTCGTTAACGGCAAAACGCGCGCGATTTTTTTTTTTTTAACTAAATGACGCTTTTTTTTTTAAAAACGACGTCGTTTTGGGCCCGTGTCCACAATTCATTGTGGACACGGGTCCAGGGCATAATTTGCCGGAAATTATTCTGTGGGCTCGGATCAATCTTGCAAGATGAATTCCGATTAAAAATACACAATTTTTATATTAAATATTCACAATTTACATATTAAATTTTTATAATTTTACATACTAAATGTTTACAATTTACAATTTTACATATCCAATGTTCACAATTTGAATTATGAACATTCAATATGTAAATTGTGTATTTTGAACATAGGTTCACCTTACAAGGTGGACCCGAGTCCATAGTATTGCTGTTGCATTTCATATTAGACCTTGTTTCCTTGTATTGCCTCTACAAGTACAACCCTTCTCTTTTTGGCATAAAGATAAAAATCATAGTTACTATTCATTAAAAAATATAAATTATAAAAAAAAAAATAACTTTTTCGTTTTTGTTTTCCTCTTTCAACCTTTTATTTCTTGATGTAATTTTCGTTCATTTAGTACTCAGGAATTGACTGATTTGACCAATAATTAAGAAAATTAATTAATAATTAAATAATATCATGTCAAGAAGGATAGATTAAAGAGAAAATATAAAAAATTGACTAGATAGTATTACTCTTACAAAAATGCACTCTTCATTGAGTTAAGTCGAAAAACTTATATACTACGCTTACTTCAACTCTTTATTTTGCTTTCTCAAATCTTCACTGGCATATGTACATAAATAATGCTACAATACAAGAAAAAATAAATTTAATTACAAAAAAAAAATATAGGTATTTAATTTACCAATGGGTTTTTGTGAGTATTCAAACAGTTACGGAGTATTATTTAATCTGCTACTATACCTATATGTATATTTTGTTTTAAAAAAATAATATATATGAATATATTTTATTATTCTCTTGCATGGTCGGTTTTAGCCATGTCTGGCCAAGGCGACAGTACAGGGTCCCTAATTTTTGAGGGCTCAATTTTTTTTTAATTTTTTAAAATATAATCTTTTTTTTTTAATTCATAGATTGATCTTAATTGTAATTGAAAATAAAATTTTAGAAGGAATTGACATCGAAATTTTGGTGAATAATTTTGTATTTAAATATGAACAAAAAATGGTACTTCTATATTAACTATTGAATTATATTCTTTCTTTGTTAAATTTTTATGCATAATATTTGAACAAAAAATTTTAATTACATTTTTATTTTTATCATAGAATACAATTTAAAAAAAATAAATAAATAAATAAAACCCTACTTTTCCTCTCTCTAATTTCTCCACCAAAACCTCTCTTCTGTCTTCTGAAACCTCGCCTCTCTTTTAGCCGCTGGCCTCTGGCCAGATCTGGCTGAAGCTTTGATGGAGCTTCGTTCCAGCAGTGGTCTTTGGCCGGCGGTCTCCTATTTCCCTTTGTTCTTTGTTTTTTTAGTTCAATAACTTCCATTGCCGATTCAGCCACCATCCCTTCAAGGAGGACACGGAAGCTCCAAAGCTCGAACTCAAGGATT